TTTATTTCATTTTCCGCTTAATGAAAGTAGAAGTACAAGATGAGGTTTTATAGGGAAGATATTCCACTTTTCTTTGAATTTCAGACCGATCTATTGACATTTAATATATGAAACATTCAATGTAAACCGTGGAAGAGATTTGTTCGCACCAACACATAAGGGATATGCTTCAGCACCATAAGGGATACACTTAAATATGATTTGATCTTTATTACTCCGTATTTTTTTATATTTTACCGTATATGTATCGGTATGCATGTATTTGATTTGGGTTTAAGAAAATTTTAAAGACTTGCTAATCTTTTAATAATCAATTGTGAAGATTGATTTGGTAGGTTGACATATAACATTTTTAGCGATGGTAGAATACTTCAATAATAAATACATAAACAAAATATTATATATTGACCCGTGCTGATGTATGAATATTCTACTAAATATTTATATTTTTGGGATGAATGGATAAATATTATTGTAAGATACAAATGACTGACAATATTCAGACACTAAAATGTCATTATTAGCCTTTTTCTCAATCCTTTAGTGCAATGACATCTCTAACTAATTTCATGCTTAAGTCACCACAAATATTAGATTTTCAAAACAAGGATAATGAATAAAATTAAAATTTTATTGACATTTAGTGACTATAATAAAAAAAGTAGCCCTTATAATAAAAAACTGCTTACATGCTCATTTTACATTTAAAATTATGTTTTGTTTGGTGACCCTATTTTTGAATTTATCAACCTTATCAATCAATTTTTTCACTAAATACTTAAATTTTGATTTCGCACATTGGATTTTGTAATGATCAAAATAAAAAAGATTGAAGTTACTTTTCTGCCTGTATTGAATGAAGTTACTATCAACAAAGATTTTAGTTACTTTTTCTAATTAATTTTTTTTTATTTTCTAATAAAATATATTTTAAATTTAATTTTTTCATAATTTAGGAGATCCAGCAAGTTCAGTGATTTCAACAAGAACTTCAATGTTAGTAGATTTGCCCAATTTATTTGATACCAAACATGCTCTATATAACATTTTAAATGAAAAGATGTTCAATATATGATATTATTGTCAATTTAAAATAGATCAATGGTTTTAAAATGTCACATGGTGTGATGAAGTTACTCAATGAGAGTTATGCGGACATGAGCAGTAAAAATAGAAAGAGACATACAATTGATGGGGCCCAAGGTACAAAAATCTCACATGGTGTGTTATAACTCTTTCATTCTTGATCTAATTTCTATAAAATATATACTTCATCCGTTCTTTTTTATTAGTGTTTCTTTCTTTTTTGGGACGTTTTTTCTATTTGTCCTCCTTTCCCTTTAACGAAAGTTTTTGAGAAAATACCTCACTTTTATTACTTTTACCCTACTTACTTTTTACAAACTACTTTCTCTTTCCTACTTTACCATCATTTTACTCTTCTTAATACACTCTCTTTCCTACTTTATCATCACTTTACTCTTTTTAATATATCATCTTTCCTACTTTATCATTTACCCTACACACTCTATACTTACCCTATTACTTTATTATTAAAACCCGTGCGAAACCCTAAGAGGACTAATAAAAAAGAACGGAGGTAGTATCAAAATTCATAATATATTTATGTATATGAAAATAGAAAGCTCATTAAAAAACTATTCTACCCTTAATGAAACCCACATGCATGCATGTCTCTCTATCCAATTTATTCTCCTCTCATACCTTATTGATGTGGCTTCTTTATTTTTAAGCCTTTACTGCTCACAAAGAAAAAACTGTGTTGCTCTCTCCATGTTTATTATCTTCTCCGTACTATACCAATTAGAGGGTTCCGTGTTATAAAGAAAACATTTTTCCTGAAAAAATGGTATAACTTTTTCATTTTTATTAGGAGATAAGCTTGCTAACAATTGAGCGGAAAAACTTTCTCTTTATAGGTAGTTCTTTTATGTATAAGATAATATAAGTTGGCTAAGAATTGAGCAGGAAAGTATTCTCTCTAATATGTAGTACTTTTAGGTATTAAATAATTGCATAAGATAAACCGGCTAACAATTGAGCGGGGGAATCCCCCCATATGTGATGGTTTTATGTATAAGAAGATATGCGTGCTAATTAATGAGTGGGAGGAATTTCTGTTATAAATCTTATAATATGTAGTGTTTTAAGATATTAGAAGATAAATTTGCTAACAATTGAGCAGGAGATTTGAGCGGGATAATTTTTTTTCCTCACATGTAGTGCTTTTAGGTATTATATGATTATTATATAAAAGAAGATAAACTTGCTAACAATAGAGTGTGATAACATTCTCTCTTATATGTAGTGTTTTTAAGTATAAGATGATCCGACTAACAATTGAGCGAAATAATTTTCTCTCTCATATGTAGTGGTTTAACGTATAAGAAGATAAGCATTCTAATAATTAAGCGGGAGAAATTTCTCTATCATATGTAAGACATTTAGGTATTACAATATAAGTTTGCTAACAATTAAACAGAGGAATTTAGTGGAAAATTTTTCTCTCTCATATGTAGTGTTTTTAGTTATTAGAAGATAATTTTGTTAACTATTGAGCGGGATAATTTTCTTTCTCATATGTAGTTATCCTCATTTTTTTAAACCTAAACCAGTTAAAATGCATTTTAAGCATCTTAGATTTAAAAGTAGATAGTAATAGCATTTTAAAACAATATTAAAGACTGCTAAAAAGTTCAACAAAGGCATAAATGAGCAGTTTTCTCTCATATGTTAGTAATATTTTAACTAATGATTAGTATGTTCAATTCTTATTTAGGTAATATTCGTTAATATTTGTTGTATTCATTTAAACTTTATGTCAATCACTTATTGTACTTACTTTTTTGGAATTGTATTTAATTTTAAAATTAATTTAATCATGAAAATTAATATATAGCAAACTCTAATGATGGGTATATATGTATTAATTTTCCCTAATATACTCTTCATTAAATATTTATTCTATGACTTATAATTTATGATATTATCTTATTATACTCTTTTGTCTCTCTAAAATGTAGGATCATAATAAGTTATTTATGTTTTAATATTTAATTAGATCATGAGTACAAATATATATATATGCACCGACTACTATTTCCCGTGCGTATGCACGGGTACTGTACTAGTAAAGATGTAAAAAAGATAACATGTAAAGTAAAAATGCACAATTATATAATACGTTACAAAATAATGTTCATTGGGATATTACAATTTCATGACTGAAAAAAATTGAAGAGCACAAAGAAAAATAAAAAAAAAATTGTTTAAGCTACTTAGTACATAAAAGCAAACAACCGGTTAAGAGAAAGTAAACAAACAAATAACTCATAAAATGAAAAAAGAATCCTTGACTAAAAGTGAAACAAGTGCAAGGCTATAACTCATAAAAATGATAAAGGCATAATAAATAAACAAATATACTCAAAAGGAAGGAATCAAACGGTAGTGCCTAAAATTTTGGAAGGTAATTAATACGTGTATGAAATGGCATAATAGCCCCCACGGCAGATTATTAGCATGGGAGAATTAGTAGATGATCTAATGGTCTATATTTATTCTCACTTCTCTCCTAAGATGATTTTCTCACTTGAACCTTAATATATATATATATATATATATATATATATATATATATATATATATATATATATATATATATATATATATATATATATATATACTCCCTCCCTATTTAAATGATCCATACATTAGGTTATGACACAAAAATTAAGGGAGAATAATAGGGGTAATGATAGTATAGATAAAGTAGGAGAGAGGTGAAAACGTAGGAAAGAGAGGATAAAAAGTAGAAAATGTTAGGATAATTGAGTATTTTTAAAGGAAAAACTTATCAAAAAGATAAAGTGTATGAAACTTTAAAATATGGAGGGAGTGTGTGTGTGTGTGTGTGTATATATATATATATATATATATATATATATATATATATATATATATATATAATCTCTATTTTATATTATTATATCTTTTTATTAGATGTTTATGTAATATGGAGTAGGTTTTTTCTTAAACATCACCACCTGCACCCAGCTAGCTTTGAGACATAAGAAAGTGACACGCTTAATAAGAAAAATAGATTTAGAATAAATAAAGAATGATTTAAAACCACACAAAAGCTTTAACAAATTTGATATGAGACGATCTAATGTGTGTTTTTTATACCTACGGGCTATGGTCCATTTACGAAAAGAAAAGATTAACTAGTATATTTCTACTCCCTCCGTCCCTAATAACTTTGCCAAGTTTGACCGGCACGGGGATTAATAAAGTAAAAACTGTGTGGTTGAGGTTTGTGCAGAGGAGAGAGAATTAACTGGATCCACAAATTCTTTACTTAAAAGAGAAAGTGACAAAGTTAATGGGACGTCTAAAAAGGGAAAGTTGGCAAAGTTATAAGGGACGGATGAAGTATAGGAAATTTTAAAAAGTGAAAAACCTAATATTAATTTTACATTTAAGCTTATTTGTGAATTGTGAAGGATTCCCTAAAATGTTTAAATGGTGTAGCAAATATTGTCCAGTCAATCATGCCCGCCCTTGAGATGGTGTAATCATCATTTTTTTTATTTTAGTGATTTTTTGATTTTTTAAAAAGGTGAATATAAACAATTTTAAAATGTGTCGAACTTTTTTTTAATCAGATTCCCGTCTATTTCACATGAAATTTTGAACAGTTTTCATAACATTTAATAAGACATGGACTCAGGCCGGGTGGCCCGACCCGGAATCGGACCGGCCCGGCACTGTTTTGAGGTGTTTTGGGGGTGGGGGTGGGGGTTAAGTAGAAAAGCAAAAAAAAAAAAAAACTAACAAGCCCAAGGCCCGGCCCGGCCCGTACCCTGTGGCAACCCGGGCCGGTTCCGGGCCTTCCCCCAAACCTCAAAAGCCCGACTGGTCCTAGGCCCGGCCTGGGTCCCTGCATACATTTAATAGTTTTAAAAAAGTGAACATAGTAAAAACAGAATGCAATTTCACCCCTTCAGATAGAAAAGTAAACAATCGAAACAAAAATGGTCACATTAGTAATGTATTATAGTTGCGTAGCCATTATTTACATCCATATGACTGAGATGCAACCATACATGCTCTCAGGAAGTGTATTTTTACTAATGTTAGATCAACTCAATATATGAAAGAAACAAAGTTCTTTAATGCAAATCAGGCTCGGTCAGTCAATTCCTTGATTTAGCTATCCAGGGTGTTAGATATAGGCACTCACAAAAGCATGTACTTCTTTAGAGACTGTGCTGCAATCATAAAACAACCAGGAATATCAGTACAGAAATGCATTCTAATCAGCTGGAGCGTATAGTCCCATAGAGGCAGTGAAATTAAAATCTTATAAACTTATACTACATGTCTACGTATAACATAAAATCCATTCACAAGTTATTTTTTCAAAGTTATTAGATCAAGGGTTGCAAAGTTTTTACCAAATAACTATTTTTTGTTTTTGGTTTGATTTTTTCTGAGGAGGAGTAATCTATTCCCATTTACAGTATGTGGAAGCTTTAAATATTCTTACATGAAAAATGAATTAGTCAGAAGGGATAACAACCATGGAGAACTCCCGAACAAAAATGACATGCTAGCAAAAAAATCATCTAAAGCTTCAAATCTATGCATGTTAAAGTTTCAACTTAAGTTGCCTTATGTAAGAAAATATTTTTTCTGAGAAGAAGTAATCTATTCCCATTTACGTTATATGAAAGCTTTAAATATTTTTACATGAAAAATGAATTAGCCAGAAGGGCTGAGCATGTTGTTAAAAATTTAAGCTCTGTTGCAAAAAATAAAATAAAAAATAAGCTCACTGAATGAATATTACCAAGCCAAAGCATGAGCTGCTGAATTAATTTCCCTGTAAATATGCCTTAACCGACACCTTCCAACTCCTCACACATCTTCTGAGCCTGTATATATATATTCAAACTACGTGATGGTAGAAAAATGTGTTGTTTACAATTATTTAAATTGGTAACTTAATAAGGAATTATGTAGCATATCTATACAAAAATTTGGTAGAAGCAATAGAAATTACTCCAAATAGGACTAAAACTATGGCAAAAACTCAAAATAGGACTTGCTATGTTTTTATTCCAAAATAGGACCATATTAGTCCTATTGGAAACATTCCTATTTTTTCATTCTATTCTTACCCATGCTTTAAATATGAGTAAAAGATAGTCAAAAGTCATAATTAAATGTTTGATTCATAATAAATTCGAAAAAAATCAAAAAATCGTTGAGAAATAAGTAAAAAAATACTGTGTAATAAATTATTTAGAAAATAACAAATCAATAATAATTTTTTTAAAAATTAATAACAACTTGATAAAAAAATAAAAAAAAATATGGATGCCTTCCCACCGCCTGTACTACCTCCCTCCTTGCACCACCACCTCCGACCAGTGTAAAAAATGCCATTTTTTTAATTTTTCAGAAAAAAAATTATTATTACTCCCTTGTTTGACCAATTTGACAAGAGGCTACTAATCCCTTGTTTGACCAATTTGACAAGAGGCTACTAATCCCCTGTTTCACATCAACTGGCACTTAAGGATCACACATGGATTAAGACACTCAATAAAAATCTCAGAATCTTGAAAAAGATAAGTAGTGTATACCTAAACAGGCCTTGATTAATAAAATGCCTTTAACACAACAGATCCTCGGAAATATTATTTTTACCCATATGGACAGGCATCATTTTAAATCTTATTTCTCTAATAGTTTCATCAATGGGTCTCAAGACTCAAGCTATATTCAACTTGCACCAAAACAAATCACCCATTTTATAGTCTAGTCCCGGGCAACCTTTTATTTTACCAAAACAAATCACCCATTTTTCAGCTCAATCCAACATAAATTCCTATATCAACCCCTAAGTAGATAAGTTGAGCAAAAGAAAATTAAAATAGTAACCAATCTTTGGAAAAACAGGTATTGGCAGTTGGATATGCCTTACCTCTTCAGATTTGACTTCCTGATGAAATGAAATATGACGAGAGCTGCACAGCATAAAAAAAAAATTCCATTTGATATGACAAATCCAGGATTCCCAAACTTCAATCTTATGCTGCGGAACCAGCAAAAAGGTGCTCTCTTTTTGAACAATTCAACGAGCGCTTGTTTTAAATTTTTCTCCTGATTGTTTGAAGAACTGGTTTTATGGTCCTCTATGGAAGAAGATTCAGTCAGATGTTCATCTATTTCAGTCACGGGTTCAGAGGAGTTCATTGAGTACAATTGCCTCAACAGATCCTAGAAAAAAACCATATAGGAATAGTCAGTCAACTATGCATACACATTTTTAAAAATGCTACACTGTAAAATGAAATAACAGATACTTTAACAAATGGTGAGAGAGCTACATGATGTACACTATCATAAAAGTCGATTATAAGACTACTGTCTGGCAGGACATTGATGGCAATAGATATTGAGTGGAAAGACAAATCAAATGCTCAAGAGTTTTGTTGAATTCTAGGGGAAATGTACAGAGCAAGAATATGAAGGTAAACTTTATAGGGTGCATACAACAGAGCATTATTTCACACAAGTTACTGAATTTTGAACGATTAAAAAAATAGATACCAATGATATATTGCATTTAGATGTTGGACATTATGCCAACATTGTTGAAGAACTTCATGCTCCATATATGACAGGAAATACCAATGGAATGTTATCAAGTGCAATAAGAATTCAAAGCAGCTACAACAACCAAACATGTGCCAGACTACATTTATTTATATTGCATCCGTTAGAAATAAGCACAGACATTGGAAACAAATCTCAAGCAATAACGTTTTCAAACTTAGTATGGACATCAAGAGATCTTCATTCAAGCGGGAAAGTACACTTGGTAACGAGGCAAAAAAATGTATTGGAAAACTACAGTCCAAAATTCCCAGACTTGGTAAATTTTCTTTCATCAATGTCTTCAAAACGTTTGTTCAGTAGTATCACTGAAAATGGCCAACTAAAATTCCAAAAGAAATGTCAAAATAGAATATGAAAGAAACATTAACCTGACGATTCTCCTCGGGCAAACTAGCTTTCTCGACCCATGAGAGGGCGAGATCAAAATTCTTCAGTGTCCTTCCCAGAAAAGCTATGGCATAGATCTCCGCAACGTCTAGATAATCATTAACTGCCAGCTCATTCTTCATACCGAAGCCCCCTCCATGAGCAATTTCACAAGCATAATGATCATAAGGTTCCTCCATGTATTGCCAGCTATTGAGATATTCTTCAACAGCTTCTAGGAAATGAGAAGAAAGGCCGTCAGACATTGGGAAAGATGACCTGTCAAAGATGGTTCAACGTTAGCTTCTATAAAACACATTCAAACTTTAAAGACTTCAAAGAAAATGTGTGTATCCAATACGTATACTAAGGTAAGCGGGGTAGATAGGTCTTATTTTGAACTAAATTTGTTCCGTAAATAGGTAGAGAACAGAGTTCATATTTTAAGAAAATTTTGTAATTCTATTTTCTGCCAGGGCCGGTCCTGACATATTTGAGGCCCTGTTCAAAACTATGTTGGAGGCCCTAAAATATAAAATGTAATATTAACAACAGTAATTTTATATTCCGTATTTGCATTCATAATGATACTAAAATATAGTTGCACTCATATTCCGTGTAACAATAAAAATATAACAAAATGAATCAAAGTAAAAGGCAGGGGAAGCAATCTCAGAAGGAATTGAGAAGTTCCCTCTGCACTGCCCTTCTGAACTTCGGCCTCCTGCAATCCCACCTCTGCCTAAGGCTTTGAGCTCTTGAATATCGTCAGAAATTAAAAGAAAGTAACTGAAAAGAAGCTTTAAAGGCTCAAACTCTTAGAAAAAAATCAAGATAACCCTGGAAGCTTCCTCGTACCTCCAAGGAGGTGAATCCACCTCCTTATTCGTGGGAACCTTTCGGACTGATTGAATTCCAGAAGATTGTGTTTCGATTTATTTAAAATCAGATCCATGCTCCAAAGGACTAACGCAACACTAATAAAATTTTATTTTCCCTAAGGCCTAATATATGTGATAGCAAGAATAGGGGGCCCTCCTTGAAGATGGGCCCGTGTTCAATTGCACCGTTTGCACTTGGCCAGGGCCAGGCATGTTTTCTACAAGCCATTTCACAGGCCAAATAATGACTTCATACTAAAATAAAAATTCGGTAATTGGCAATAACATATAAACTGGATAATTGATGAGAAGAGTTGATATAATAAAGGTACCAAGTAATGATGAGTTGAGCAGGTATGGCAGTCACTGAGCCAAACAAGACTTTGAGTTCGTTCAATATTTCCGATGTCCTGCAAACAAACCAAAAACAAATTCATATTGACCCACACCAAAGCCTGAACAGTTTCACTTTTATGTTTACAAATCAAATTTTGAGATGCTACCAACATTTCTAGTCTATCAAGTGGAAAAGAATAATCTACTGTAGAATGTTGGATTATGAATCGGAGGTACCTTCCAAGTTCATCCAAGGACTGAATAAAGATCAATCCAGCATTACCCAACAAACCTTCCAGTTCAGAATCACTCCCCACACATTTAAGTATGCTATCGTTAGACCGAATTCTTTCTATCAAGCGCTCTAGAAAAGACCGGGAAACAGATGCTGCTTTATTGAAATTACACCACGTAACGTAGCTGCAAAACTCAATTTAAAGACGATGTGAGCCATTGAATATAGGAGATTGATAAGGACGCACGAAAGGGGCAAAAGATTTTACGAATGAGCTTGCTCAATGTCAACCAAATATGGACGAATTGCCGCGTCGAATGCGGCCCATTTTTCTTCCATTTCTCTAATTAGGAACTGAACCTGAAAAACAGTGACATAATGTAAACTATAAGATGGAGTAGCAAAAGTCATAAACATTCTAAGTTTTCAAGAAAATTGCACATAGATCATGAAGGGGTTAGAGCTATTCAAAGTTTATTTATTTCAAGCTATTCAATAACTTAATATCTAAATACGCTAATGAAATCTTAATACAAAAACTATATTATTTATTTTATTAGAATCTTGAAACAGATAAGTAGTGTATACCTAAACAGGCCTCAAGTAATAAGATGCAGAAAACACAGTAGTTATAGAACTAGTCTACAATCATGTAATACATGCTATCATCAACCAATAAGATTCGTAATTAGTTTGAAACACTCACAAGAGGGGGGGGGGGGGGGGGGGGAATCTTAATGAAAAAGAAAACAGCAAAGTAAAAACGCATCACAATAATGACCAATTTGACAAGAGACTTACTAATCACACATGGACTAAGACACTCACTAAACATCTTAGAATCTTGAAAAAGATAAATAGTGTGTACCTAAACAGGGCTTGATTAATAAAATACCCTTGACACAACGGTTCCTTGGAAATATTATTTTTACCCATATGGACAGGCATCGTTTTAAATCTTAAAATAAAATTTACTTCTGTAATAGTTTCATCAATGGGTCGTATTCGACGACTAAGAGAGGGGTGAGAAGAAGAAAGGAGAGAGGGGAAGATACGCTTGAGGGAAGAAGAAACGAGAGGAAGAAGATGACTTACTAGCCGATGTCGCGGGAGTCTGACGGACGGAGTGACAGCTGCCGGTGTGGCGGCGTCGCGCTGCTTCTTGGTGGCTGGTGCTTCCGGCTTTCGAATTGCGATTTGCGAATGGCGGATTGGCGATTCGAAAATGGGAATGGGTAATTCTATTTACAGCCACACTTTTGCTAAATACAGCCTCATATATCTTCAAATGTCTAAATTATCCTTACAACCACAAACTTATAGACAGGATACAATTTATCCTTCCAGATCTTAAAAAGTGGAAGAATCCAGTTGCTCCGTCAAGTAACACGGAACAAAGGTTTATGAGACTCCGACGAAGCTTAGAGTTCCACTACCTCCGTCGCAGTGCCGCCCAACTCCCAGTCGCTCCGCCACCGCTCTGGTCCCCATTGCTGCTCAAGGAAAGCCCAGGCCTTGATTACAACCTCTGTAATTCTTTAATTTGTTCAGTTCCTGGAGCTCAACCTCGAGGTCTGCCATTAATGGCCGCTCAAAGCTCTGGGAAGCACAGACTACCCCAAAATCATTGTCGGTGTCACGGCTGAAAGTCTCTGACCTGTAGAATACTTGTCTCCCAGCAACGCTACTCCTTCTTGGTCCCAATTACGCTGACTCCTGGTCCTTCTTCAACATTTGATTCAACTTAAACTTTGGTTGATTCTTCTAGTTTCCGTTGAGTCTCTTCAAGTTACGACGCCGGTGTCTTCTGACGGCCTTGAACGTGATGCGGAATTTAAGCCTATTCATTTCAGTAGGTAGATAGAGGGAAGATGACCTTGAATAGAAGCAGAGGAATGGAATTAAGGGGCTGGAGTCGGTAATAGGAAAGAAGCGATGAATGAAATTAAGGGTATATTTGGATTTATAAAAAAAAAGTGATTGTATTTAATAAAATGGTGGCTGTGAATTTGGTCTGTCTGTTTGATTGCCTGTTTTGTTTCGTTCGGGAATTGGCCCAATCGGTCGGCCGCCCAATCGTTCGGGAAGATGCCCAAACGGGCTCGGTCGGACGGAGCATCCCGTCAGGTCGGCCTGACAAGAAGACCACTCTACATACATATATTGATATATATATATATATATATATATATATATATATATATATATATATATATATATATATATATACTAGTTATATGACGCGCGATGCGCGAGGAGAAAATGCCCAAAACTCATATCCCCTAATTGTTTCTAGATTCTTTTAAGGATGGGGGAGCTCCCAAAAAGAGAACCCGAACCAAGCGAATACGTGGTCACCAACTACCACGCATCACCCCAGGTCTCCTGAACGGTTGCACAAGCTACTAAGGTCACCTATGAACCGTCCGATCAACCCGGACCCCACCACCCACCAATTGGAAACTGAACTTCTAACTTAAGTGTGTACACCCTCTAAAAAGGGATTCCAAACCCTCCGAGTAGTAAGAAGTCCAAGTAGTCGAGACCAGCTAAGTCTCTACCGAATACCCAAGAAAAAGATAAAAATGGTCTAGGTGCTACTACTACCACAAAATCCGAAACCAATAATAATAATAATATCCAAGTATCTAAAACCACCAAAGAAACCATCCACCAGATAATAGTAGCACTACCCCAGACCACAGTTCTACATTTAACCGGATGTAGAGCCGAACACCACAGATTACTCCCAGGTGCTCAAAATATCCAGAAAGCGTTCATTACAATTTGGCAAAAGATTTGATACCCCACTTTACAAAAATAGCATTTACCACCACCACCACCAATGTAGTTCATAGATTACCCGATTATCATCATGAACATCTAGTTCATAGAATACTCACATATCACTTAACCTCAAAATACCTTCTCATAATATTTATTTCAGATTCATGTCTCAAAATCATATGCCAAACATCTCCGATTCAAAGTCAAAGTTCACAAATTAGGGTTTAACCAAAACTAGTTCCAAAATAGTATTTAATACCATAGTCAAAATAACCCAATAAGGATATTTATAACTCCAGAATATATATAAACATTCACACCAAATTATACATTTAAAAGAATATAATTTGTCCCAAAAGATTTGGTCTCACAATACTTTCCAAAAATAGGGTTTAACTCAAACCACCACTTTCCAAAAGTAGCATTTACTACCACCACCAAAATAATCCAATTGGGATATTATAAATCCATAATATACTTTCACAATAACTAATTATAATAATCTCAAATCATACTTCAACTCATGCCAAAACAATCACCACAATTTTCTAATTCAAAGGACAATTCCTCAAAAATCACAATTTTTGCCATATTAAACGGATTTGGTAAATTCACAAAAAGTCACACATTCATAAATTCCAGAAAATCATACATCATCATATCTATAATTTAATAACCTAAATATTCATAAAAGTTCACAAAGAAACTAATGCCATTCAGTGCACCGTATCACCAATGAAGATTTTTTGTCTGACGTACGATTCCCTCATTTGAGCGTTCACGATCATTTCTCATTTTTCATGTAAGAAGGTGTTTTTACCTGATCTCTTCCCTATATATATTAAGGTTCAAGTGAGAAAATCATCTTAGGAGAGAAGTGAGAATAAATATAGATCATTAGATCATCTACTAATCCTCCCATGCTAATAATCTGCCGAGGGGGCTATTATGCCATTTCATACACATATTAATTACCTTCCAAAATTTTAGGCACTACCGTTTGATTCCTTCCTTTTGAGTATATTTGTTTATTTATTATGCCTTTATCATTTTTATGAGTTATAGCCTTGCACTTGTTTCACTTTTAGTCAGGGATTCTTTTTTCATTTTATGAGTTATTTGTTTGTTTACTTTCTCTTAACCGGTTGTTTGCTTTTATGTACTAAGTAGCTTAAACAATTTTTTTTATTTTTCTTTGTGCTCTTCAATTTTTTTTCAGTCATGAAATTGTAATATCCCAATGAACATTATTTTGTAACGTATTATTTTGTAACGTATTATATCCCAATGCATTTTTTCCCCAAATTTCATAGCTGTTTTTTTTCCTACATCGCTTAGTTCTCCGATTTTTTTTCCCCAAATTTCATAGCAGTTTTTTTCCTACATCGCTTAGTTCTCCAATTTATAGGGTCGGAGAACTAAGCGATGTAGGAAAAAAAGTGCTATGAAATTTGGGGGAAAAAATCGGAGAACTAAGTTCATAGAAATGCAAAAAAATATGTCTCAATGCAGCCTATAAATAATGCATAAACTATTCCCAATCTTAGGAAAAATCTGCGGAAGTAACTAACAACCCAAAAATGCACACAACCTAAGAAAAGTAGAAAAGCTGCATACAAAAAGTTAGTAATTATGCTTCCAATTAAATGTACTTTACCGAGACGGAAATGTGGAAAGTAGAAAGTTGTAGTTGGGAAAGTCAATAATACCCCCTTCGTATGTCTTGAAATTAGGACCGTAATTTTTCATTAGTAAGGAATCATATGGTTGAGATTACTTCTTACTTTTCATGGGATTGAGTGTTTTTATATGATCCAATATATATATATATATATATATATATATATATATATATATATAGGGATGAGTTCAAGTAAAAAGTAGTCTTCCCATGAAAAGTGAGAACAAATCTTGGCCTTTAATCACTTGCAAATGGATGGACTAGATGAAATTTAATAACAATACACGTTGTCAAAAAAGTGCAAACATTTATAATATAAAGTGGATAGATAATGAACAAAAGTTTACTCATAAGTGATAAAAAGATTGTTAATTTGCTTTTAATTTGTGCAGATTTTATTATGTACCGTAATGCACCTTTTGGCTCTACATTTGCACTTTTTGAAATTCCTCGTACACATTTGTTACAATAATTTCATTCAAAGATCATCATAATTACCAAAATTCCACCGCGTTTCCAACTTAAAATTTGATCTCTTCCATCCATTTTTTCACATCAAAGGCCAAGATTAGTTCTTATTTTTCATCTAGGAACCACTTTTTATTTGATACAAAGTACAAATTAATCCTAGCCACCCATTTGAATGAGATAATGGTGTAGATGGAAATAATCCCCCACTAACTGTATGTCCGCATGTAGTGCTTGGAGGATCAAAACCTCTCCCACTAATACGGATGAATTTTAGTTGGTCAAACTAAGTCTTACCCTTGATTTGATTATATTGGATGGATGAGATGAGTTTGCACTTTGTATGGGAAACATACTTTGTATCTGATCTTAACCCTATATATATATATATATATATATATATATATATATATATATATATATATATATACACACTCCCTCCCTATTTAAATGATCCATACATTAGGTTATGACACAAAAATTAAGGGAGAATAATAGGGGTAATGATAGTATAGATAAAGTAGGAGAGAAAGGTGAAAACGTAGGAAAGAGAGGATAAAAAGTAGAAAATGTTAGGATAATTGAGTATTTTTAAAGGAAAAACTTATCAAAAAGGTAAAGTGTATGAAACTTTAAAATATGGAGGGAGTGTGTGTGTGTATATATATATATATATATATAATCTCTATTTTATATTATTATATCTTTTTATTAGATGTTTATGTAATATGGAGTAGGTTTTTTCTTAAACATCACCACCTGCACCCAGCTAGCTTTGAGACATAAGAAAGTGACACGCTTAATAAGAAAAATAGATTTAGAATAAATAAAGAATGATTTAAAACCACACAAAAGCTTTAACAAATTTGATATGAGACGATCTAATGTGTGTGTTTTATACCTACGGGCTATGGTCCATTTACGAAAAGAAAAGATTAACTAGTATATTTCTACTCCCTCCGTCCCTAATAACTTTGCCAAGTTTGACCGGCACGGGGATTAATAAAGTAAAAACTGTGTGGTTGAGGTTTGTGCAGAGGAGAGAAAATTAACTGGATCCACAAATTCTTTACTTAAAAGAGAAAGTGACAAAGTTAATGGGACGTCTAAAAAGGGAAAGTTGGCAAAGTTATAAGGGACGGATGAAGTATAGGAAATTTTAAAAAGTGAAAAACCTAATATTAATTTTACATTTAAGCTTATTTGTGAATTGTGAAGGATTCCCTAAAATGTTTAAATGGTGTAGCAAATATTGTCCAGTCAATCATGCCCGCCCTTGAGATGGTGTAATCATCATTTTTTTTATTTTAGTGATTTTTTGATTTTTTAAAAAGGTGAATATAAACAATTTTAAAATGTGTCGAACTTTTTTTTAATCAGATTCCCGTCTATTTCACATGAAATTTTGAACAGTTTTCATAACATTTAATAAGACATGGACTCAGGCCGGGTGGCCCGACCCGGAATCGGACCGGACCGGCACTGTTTTGAGGTGTTTTGGGGGTGGGGGGTTAAGTAGAAAAGCAAAAAAAAAACTAACAAGCCCAAGGCCCGGCCCGGCCCGTACCCTGTGGCAACCCGGGCCGGTTCCGGGCCTTCCCCCAAACCTCAAAAGCCCGACTGGTCCTAGGACCGGCCTGGGTCCCTGCATACATTTAATAGTTTTAAAAAAGTGAACATAGTAAAAACAGAATGCAATTTCACCCCTTCAGATAGAAAAGTAAACAATCGAAACAAAAATGGTCACATTAGTAATGTATTACAGTTGCGTAGCCATTATTTACATCCATATGACTGAGATGCAACCATACATGCTCTCAGGAAGTGTATTTTTACTAATGTTAGATCAACTCAATATATGAAAGAAACAAAGTTCTTTAATGCAAATCAGGCTCGGTCAGTCAATTCCTTGATTTAGCTATCCAGGGTGTTAGATATAGGCACTCACAAAAGCATGTACTTCTTTAGAGACTGTGCTGCAATCATAAAACAACC